TATGCAAGTTCAAGCTGAAGCTGAGGAAAATTAAACCGAATCCACAGGAGCCAAAATATGACTTTGATTTCATACCACATGAATTTGAGAATCATCTCAGGCACAGGTTTGAGGCCTTGAACACTAATGAGCGAAGCTGGTAATACCAAACTCAAATCCCTGGCTGTTGAATCAGTTGTAACTCTCAGCGACCCATAGGGCCAAGTGAAGCTGCTCTGTAGGGTCCCCGAGGCTGTAAATCTCTATGGAGATGCACTGTCACCTTTCTTCCACAGAGCAGCTGGGGAGTTTAAACTGTCAACCTTTGGGTCACTAGCCAAGTAGTTAACCACTGTCCCACCCACCAGATCGCCCTGAGCCTCTGATCATTCACTCCCCTCTGCCTCCTTCTGACCCTCCATCAAGCCTCCAGGACCTGCCTGTCTTTCTCCTGCCGAGCTGCTGATGGATCTGAAATTCCCAGAGATGAATGACTTCAGGGTTAGCAGCCCTCAGGCCTACGCCCCTCCCCTCCGCACCCCTGCCTAGGATCCCATCATTCTAGATTTTCATAGACACTTATTCCTTCACGTTGGGATTGAATGATGGTTACACTGTGTGCTGGGGAGGTGGCACCATGGCCTGAGTATGGGGTGTCATGTGGTCATCTCTGGTGGTCATTCCCTTCTGACCCCTCAGCTTCCAGAAACTTTGTTCCCTGATCCCCATGTCGGGGTTGGAACAAGATCCCCATACTCTGAGCCCTGTGCTTCGCCCCGATCACTCTGTAATGTGACTTCCTGGTTGAGACCTGCATCCACCACTAGAATATGTTACTGACATGTAGTAGAAGCTTACTACATATGGAGTGAATGAATTCATGGGGAGAGGTGAAGGCACGCAGCGCCCTCTTTTCCCAGCAGCAGAGTCCCCTGATAAGGACATCTTCAGGCCTCTTATTCCTCCTTGAGCCCTGCCCTCCCAGTGCACACATACAAAACCCAGCAGGAAGGCTGCCCAGCCCCCTGGCCTCTGCAGGCCCTGCCAGCAAGCCCTGTGGCCCAAACAGAAAGCCTCAGGCAGGGGGCCCCTAGATGCATGCCCCTCCATGCTTGTCCCATGTCACACACTCAGAGCCCATTGACATAGTCACCTGACATTTGAGCAGACTCCCCAGATGTCAGCAACCTGACCCCCCTCGCATTCTGGGAGGATAGGGTGCAGGGCCTGCTAACCCAATGGGAGTGGGTGGCCTTGCTGACCAACACAGGCAGGCCATTCGTAGGGACTGGCTGAACTGCCCCTGCCCCAGAGTCTAGCAGAAGAGGGAATGGTCTCCCCTTTGTCTGCATCCTAGTTAACTAAAGAGACAACATGAGCCCCTGGTATGTGAAGACCCCGTTAGAGCTGGGGACCACCTGGTCACATGCTCTTAAGAGTCCTCGGATCTCCTTTTATGGCTCCTGGAACCCCAGACCCCACTGCCCTCAAGTCTATTCCGAATCCTAAGAACCCTGTGTGGGGAAATGCCTTCTACCCTCTTCTGTGGAGCAATTGGTGGATTCAAACCGCCAACCATTTGGTTGGCAGCACAAGGTGTAATACACTACGCCACTGGCATTCATCTGCGCTAAGTTACCATTGAATCCTTAATACTTCATGCTTAGACAGGAGTCCTGGGCCCTGCCGCTTGCTCACATGTCACACCACGTTTTCTCTTGCAGGGAACACCAACAGCATCTTTGCCCTGGACTATATCAGTGGAGCACTGACCTTGAACGGGCTGCTAGACCGGGAAAACCCTCTGTACAGCCACGGCTTCATCCTGACTGTAAAGGTGAGCCCCGGCGGTGGGCTTCTCCCCCAGGTGGATGGGGCCAGGGCGAGGCTGGCCCCCAGCCGCAGACCCACTGCTCCTGATCTCTCCTCCTGCACTGAGTCCCAGGGCGTGTGCCAGGACCTGTGTCAAGAAGGGAATGTGGGTCGTGTGAGGTCAGCCACATAGGTTGGGACTTCTGTCCCTGTTTTGGGGATAAGGAGGTAGAGGCTGAAGAAAGTTAATGTACCAGGCTTGAACTGTTAGAAGGTTTAAGTGCACAATATAGGTACTTAGCCTGTGTCCTTACAGTTCTCCCATGATTCCCAGTTCCCTGCGCAGCCCATTTGAATTGTTAAATTACCTCCCTTTTTGAGGTCTGGCCCCATTTCAGAGTCTCTCGGCTTCCCTAGATTCCCTCATTGCTGTTGAGTCAGAACCAACTCAGAGCTGACCCTCCCGGGGCCTTTACGAAGCTGTAAATGGCAAGAGAGAAGATTGCCCATCTTTGTCCCAAGGAGGAGCTGGTGGATTCGAGTTGGCAGTGCAGCTCCCTAACCCCTGAGGCTCCCACTGGAGCTCCCTGGTGCCGAGTTGGGGAGCAGCAGTGTCGCGGGGAAGGGGCTGAAGCTGTCGGAAGCCCTGATCCAGCAGTGGTGGTGGTGGCGTCCCCCAACCCCACAATCCACCCCCACACACATACACACATACCCCCGCCCGCCTGTGCCTGCTCCGCCCCGCCGGCTTTAATGAAAATCAATGGCTTGCTGAACCATTCCCAGGGAAACCCATTTAGGAGCATGGATCTGTCTGGGCCACAGGCACCTCCCCAGCCTAGGTGTCAATTGAGGGGAGGAGGTGACTCAAGGACTGAGGACAGGAGTCTGGGAAGGAGGCCCTTCCATTGACCGGAGGAGGATGGAGCTCGGTCTTTATTGTTCTTGGTGACTTTGAGAGGCCCTGGAGCAGTGATGGATTTATTAACCAACCCTCTTCTCAGCCCCTAGCCCTCCCACCCCTATGAGGAGCCCTTCCCAGCCCTGCTCCTCCTCCCCAGTTCCCTTGTTGATGGCAGGGCTCAGGTCCAGTGGGAAGGAGCCGCTGGGTGGTCTCAGCACTGCCACTGTCTCCCTGGGAGATCCTGACCTCAGTCTGTCCAACTTTAAGTGGAATGTGTGGTGAGTTCCCAACCTCAGCTGTGTCTCTGCTACAGAGTCCTGTTCCAGGCTGACTCGTCCAGGCGCTCTGGTTTAGGAAGCTGAGGATGGGGGTGAACTGGGCTTGGGAACTTTAGAGCCCCAGAGCTCTCAGCAGGGCCTTAGAGACTGAACACCCTGGTGTCTGAGCCCTGCTGTCTCTGGATCCAAGCCAGATTCTTGCTCTCTAGCTCCCAGCTCCGTCCACAACAGATGGCAAAGGGGGTCTTGAGTAGCAGTTTGCACTAAATGCCTTTGCCTCAGTTTCTTCATCTGTTCATTTGAAGGAAGACTCTCCTGTCATCCTGAGATGCACCACCAAGTCTGTCTTGTCCTTCCCACCCTGCGTTACCCCCTTGCCAGATTATGGATTGCCACTGACCGAGTTTAGAATCTACCCTAGCTGTGTGACCTTGAGCAAGTAATTTAACCTCTCTGAGCCTCAGCACCTCATCATCTGTGAAATAGAGATACCAGTGCTATAAAGTATCTTATTTATAATAATATATAGCACATTATTACAGTATTTTATTGATGATGAGGCGCAGAGGCTCAGAGAAGTTAAGCACTTTGTCCAAGGTGCTCAACTTGACAGCACCTAAAAAGAACGAGAACAACAAGACTATAATTTTCCTTCTGAGATTCTGGTGAGGATTTGATGGGGTGATTCACAGAGGGGGCTGTGTACTCACCTGACCGAACCCTTGGTAAACGAGATCTGTTAAGGATTCTGGCAGCCTTCACCCCTGGCTATCCCTGTTCTGTCCACAGGGCACGGAGCTCAATGATGACCGCACCCCGTCTGACGCCACAGTCACTACGACCTTCAACATCCTCGTGATCGACATCAATGACAACGCCCCTGAGTTCAACAGCTCCGAGTACAGTGTGGCCATCACAGAGCTGGCCCAGGTGGGCTTTGCCCTGCCCCTCTTCATCCAGGTGGTGGATAAGGATGAGGTGAGTACCCAGGGTGCACGGCCTGAACAGACCCACTGTGCTTCCCGAGCTGTGAGGCCAAGGGCAGGATTTCAGGCCACTCTGGGCCCGCAGATGCTCAGCTATTAAACATTGCTGCACCTTCTCGCTGCTGTGTTCTGAAGAGAAATTCTCAGTTCTCATTATTGTCAAGTCAGAACCAACTCGTATCATACCTGACCCTCCAGTGGGTTTTCTGAGGCTGTAAATTGCGTGGGAGGAGTTCGCCCATCTTTCTCCATTGGAGCAGCTGGTGGATTTGAACCGCTAGAGAGGCACCACCTTTGGTTAGCAATGTGACCCCCTAAAGACTTCATCATCTGTGCTCTCTCAACTTCAGGGCTGCCCTGGGACCCCAAACCCAGGCCTCAGGTCAGTTCCAATATATGACAGTTCTCCCGCTGGGCTTCCTGGGCTGGGATTTTTACAGGAGCCGACTGCTGAACATACATCTCTAAGTGTGACTAAGTCACTTATCAATTATCTAAATGACCACGGTACTAACATAGTATGTACATTATAAGACATACATGTGAAAAAAGCCATTTTTAAAGATAGAAATAAAGCCTGAAGTCTGTGTTTCCCGCACCCTGTTGAATCATCTTGTGCCCATTCTGGGGCCCATGTACCCACATTTAGAGGCTCCTGTATTCATGGTAACTTTGACAGAAAGTCCCATTTCTTTTGATTTCACAATGACCCCACTTTCCTGTGTGAAAAGCATGAGAAGTTTAAGAGCTTTTTGGAGGGTGTTGAACCCCAGGCAGCAAGATTGCTCAGAAGAGGTTCCATTCTGTCCACCCAAGGAGACCCAAGTGGAAAAAGCAAAGGTCAGGGACCACTGGTGAAGGATCATTTAAGACATCGAGGGAGGGCAAAATCTCCCCCCAGGAGTCCCATCCCCTCCCCGCTCTGCTCCACCAGGTGGGGGCCTGGCCTGAGCTGAGCCTCAGGACCCTTCCCGGCCTCGCAGCCCGCATCCCCTCAGCCCCTGCCCATTAGCAGCTGGGATAGTTAATAGGACTACTATTTATTACCACGGCTCCCTGCTCCCGGCCCCCTCTGCTCAGAAATTCCATTAGATTCTCCAGCCTGAGGTGCTTCCCTTCAATTACTCCTCACGTGGGGCTGCACGATGGCCTTGCTCCAGGCAGGGCGTCCTCCCACACTCCTCTGCCCCCTCACTGGCTGCTCAGCAAGCCTCCCAGCATGCCTGTTAGCTCTTCCCGCACTTTCTGTTCCCGGCTCCCACCAGCTTCTCTCCACTCAGTGTGGTCCCTCGAGGTCATGCGGGCTCATCAGTCCCCCAGTGCCTGCGTGTGTTTGCGCATGTCTGCGTGTGCACTCACGCACACGTGCTCCTCCATCTCTTGTTATTCCTCACACACGGCTGAGATAAAGTATGTGTTGAGCACCTACTGTTTTCAGGGAGTCCGGAACTGTAATCCATGGTCCCCATCCCAAAAGGCCATCCGTGTGTTTATAAAAATACAACCAATCAGCGAGCTCTGGTGGCCTAGTGGCAAGAAGCTGCACTGCAATACTAGAGGTATGTGGTTCGAATCCACCAGATGCTCTGCTGGAGAAGGAGGAAAAATCTCCTCCTGTACCAGTCAGATTTGATTTGATGATACACACACACACAGAATAATAAAAATTTAAAAAAAAAATACAACCAACTGCAGTGGTGACCCTACGTGTGTCCGAGTGTGTCCCCGCGGTTTGCAGGGGCTTATTTGAAAATAGATTAGCCCTTTCTTCTCAGGACTCTTTGAGTGGACCTGAACTCTCGACCCTTCTGGTTAGGAGCTGAGTGTGTAAATGTTTACACCATTCAGGAACTCCTGTGTTGTTGTTGTTGTTGTTGTTATGTGCTGTTGTCATCAGCAGCCCCTGAACAACAGCTCTGAACCCTGCCCTGTCCAGAGCCAGCCTCATCATCTCTGATACACTTGAGCCTTCTTACTTACACTGATCCTCCTCCTTCCCAAGCATGATGTCCTTCCCCAAGGACTGGTCCCTCCTATAACATGCCCAAAGATAGTATGTCCATTTTAAAACACAATGTAGCAATTTTAAAAGATAGACATAAACAGTAAGTTAAATAACAACTTATTTCTTTACACTATGGTACTGTCCCCCATGAAAGGCAGACCTAGTCTTTCGGAGACTGCTGATAAATGGCCCCCTTGGCAGAGCTCCATCCTGGCTTCAGACAGGAACTCTTGATACCTGTGTGTGGCCCAAGAGTCCAGTGACCACATGCAGTGAGAGCACCCTGGAGTCAGAGGAAAAAGGGACAGTAGGGGCTGGGAGGGTCAAGGAAAGCCTTATGGGCTAAGAGGACAGGAAGTGGGATTTGGGGCACCAATCGGCAGTAGAAAGAAGCCGAGGCCTTCTCAAGGCCAGGCCCAGGACTGAGGGGTAGACACCGGTGTGTCTGTAGTGACTCCTGGAAGTGATGCAGGGTTTGTGTGTGGGGCTGCTGGGAAGGTAGGATGAGTATGGCCTTGGATGACCTCGAATGCCAGGCCAAGGAATTTGGCTTTGATCTTGAAGGCAGCTCCAAAGGGAGGCAGCCAGCTTGTGTAAGTAACAGAAGATCACTGGAGAAACAGACAGTGCTGTGTGTAAGTCCAAACTTAATAACCACTTACTGTGACTACTTTTTCGTATGAAGAAAAAAAAATATTTACTTTCTTTTAAAAATTGTTTTATTGTGGCAACAAAACATTTGACAATTTAACCTTTTTTATGTACAGAATTTGGCAACACTTATCATACCCATCACTATTATCTGTTTACAGCCAGATTATTCCATCTTTAGTTATAGAACCATAGTGCCCCTCAAGCTCTTCGCTCTGCCACCTCCCTACCCCCAGCAACCATGAATAAGTCGTTGTTGTTGCTGTTGTTGTTGCTGTGTACCCTCAAGTCAGAGCTGACTCATAGCTGACCCTCCACCAGGCTTTCCGAAGCACTGAATCACACAGGGGTTGATTGTCCATCTGCCTCTTGCAGAGCCGCTGGTGGATTGGAACCCTATACCTTTGGGTTGACAGTGCAGCTCCTTACCACTGAGCCCACCAGAGCTCACTACTCATAAGCTGTAGTCTCTGCATTTGCCTGTTCTAGATATGTCATGTAAGTGGGATCACGTAATACTTGTCCTTTTGTGACTGACTCACTTCACTCAGCATGAGGTCTTCCAAGTTCATCCTTGTAATATGTATGTGGTCGAGTAATATCCCACTGCATGTGAATAGCACTCATGTGGATCAATTACAGTTGATAACCACTCCACGGGACGGAGGAGGACAGGCTGTCGTGTAGTCTTCCCACGGCTCTGGATGGATACACACCGCCCCATTCTCTCACAGAGCGAGCCATCCACCTTTCAGGTAGCAGCTGAGCACTTCCAGCACTGCACCTCTAGACTCCTCTATCTCTGCCGCATTTTCCTTACTCATTTGTCTATTGGGTTATTTTCATCTTTTAGCTATTGTGAAAAATATTGCATTGAGCTTTGGTATACATGCCACGGTGACTTCTGGTGAGTCATTGACCCTTTCAGACCTCCCTGTACTTCTGGCTTAAAGAGAGAACTTAAAAAGGAAAAGAATGTATCGATCCATCTACACTGCAGTAACGAGTCAGTGCATTGGTACCACAGAAGTGTGCTTCCCCCACAGGCCACTTGTCCAGCACAGGTTGGTAGGCAGACCCAGCCTATAGTCACATGGGGCATACAAGCTGGAATTCCACTATCTCCCCACTGCAGAACTGGCCACTAGAGGGCTCAGCACCAGCTGTCCTGTTTCATCCCAGAAGGGGCTGCTTTGGACCTCTGCCCACAGCCATAGACTGATGAGTTGTCTGCCGCACCTCACTGCTCAGAGGCCAGGATATAGGGCAGTAGGCCCCTACGTATTTGTCTGCCACAAAGGACAACAACAGGGATGTGGAGAGAAGAAAGTCAGATGGCACATGCTTAACACAGTATCCTCCACCTATAAATGTCACCTATCGTCACCATGCACAGAGCTGCAGTTCACTGACCATGGCTGACCCAGGGAGCATGTCCACAGACCACTGGAATCCCCAGAGCCCTAGTCACTGTGACCAGTGGGGAGGTCAAGGTCGCCTGACCCCTTCAATTTTGTTTCCTGCTCCCTTTGCTGGAAGCCCTGCCAGAAGTGTCTGTAAGCTCAGCCTGTTTCCACACACCACTCCCTGCCCTGGTACATATGCTGTGGTCAGAGAGCCCAACACCTGTTCCCTGGCCTCCACTGCTGTCTTCCCGAAGGAGCTGCTCATTGCTTCTGGCTGTAGAGATCTGGTGTCCTCTCCGAGGTCCACTAATGTACATGGAGAAACTAGCAAAGCCTTGGGGAGAAGCAGTCTAAAACCCCAGACCACCCCACCGCTAGATCATTAGGCTGCGCTCCAAGTTCTAGATAAGAGGGAGAGAGGGCTGAATTGCTCTCTGCCTCCAGCCCTGCTGGTTTCATCTCCCATCCCCTCACTCCTCTCCACAGCTCTGGAGAGATTCAGATCTGTCCGGGTGTATGTTCCCAAAGCCCAGTCTTGGATGTACACCATCATAGCTGAAGGTCAGACACCAGTGCTAATGTGGAGTACTCAGCCACATTCCCAGTAGGAGAAGCGAGGCCCTGGTACTCAAGCACTCCCTCAATGTCCAGGATCTGAGAAAAATTGTTGTTGTTGTTAGGTGCCATTTAGTCAAGTACGACTAATAGCAACCCTATAAACAACAGATTTGAACCCTTCCCTGTCCTGTACCACCCTATCCTCTCTGATGTACTAGGAATCAGTCCACAGAACAGAGCAAGAAAACACAGCATGGTTCAAAATCAGGAAAGGAGTGCATCAGAAATGCGTCCTGTCTCCATTTGTTTTCAATCTATATGCAGAACAGATCATTTGGGAAGCTGGGCTTTATGAGGAGGAATGTGGCATCA